GTCAGTTCTTGTTCAAAGGCCGATCATTGGCAGTGGGCTGTGTCACAGCTGGACACTGTTTTGAGACTTTCCGTGTCTGATGACATCACGTATAATTCAGCTGTGAGAGCTTGTGTTGCGGGAGCCAAGTAGAGCTCGAGGGAGCTGTGCAAGAAAAGACAGAAATACCAAGCTTAGCGTGACTTGAGTGCGGAGCGCAGCAGTAACGCCGAGCTTGCTTGGCCTCTCAAGTTGGCCATCAGGATACATCAAGTTTGTTGCAGTGGACCTGCGTGGCCAACGTCATGCTGGCATGTGTGCTAAGTGACAAGTGGTTGCAGCTCTTTTAGCAGGATTCTGGCCTCCTTGTGCCAGCCAGGAAGTGGCCCATGAAGGCGATGTTAACTGCGTTGCTTGGTGCCCGTCAGCTTCCCAGCTCCATCCTCAGTGTCATGAGCATTGCAGGAGTTTTCGTGCAGCTTTGGTCTTCAGTTGGCTTCTTCAGATGATCCCGGTCATGCTTCAAGGCACTTTGGGCTCAAAAGGTTTGCCCTAGGTGTCTTTGCCGTAGCGCTCCCGCCACAATGCTGGCGGAGCGTGTAGCGCAAATGTTTGATGAGCTACGCGACCAGGTGGTCTCAATGGTGCGCGAGCACGAACACCAAGGTGACCAAGTGACGGAGCTGCAGCAGCAGCTGACAATCCACAGCAACAGGGTCGAAGCTTTGGAGGCCGAGCTCCACGAGCTTAGACAATTACTGCATGTTGAGACAAACTCTCCGGAAACTCCAGAAACCTGCACTCCCCCATCGCCAATGGAGCATATGGAGCTGGTGGAGTGGAAGGAAGCATCCGAGTCCGAGGGCACCAGCAGCCCTAGGGACGAGGAGGACGCATCGGCCATAGCAAGTGCGCTATTGCGCCAGATTTACGCAGTGGTCGACAAGGCCAAGGTAAAGCCAGATGCACCACAGGTGCAGGAGATTCCAGCCAGCCGCGATGTTCAGCTGACCTCCTGGAAGTGTATTTTCAGGCACGGCATGGACGTGCGCTCTTGGCCTCAGGTACAGCGCACCGGCATAGTAGGATTCCTCAACTGTGGGCAAGAGTTTCAAGTCTGTGAAGAAAGGCCGGGCCGCGACGGCACAGTCTTCCTGAAACTGTCGGACGGCCTGGGCTGGGTCTTCACCAAGAGCCGTTCTGGAAGGTTTTGTGTGCGGGTTGAGAAGGAGTCAGCAGCCGAGAATGCCTGGCGGGACTACAAAGGCCCTGATCACACTAGCCGGCACTATGACACTAGCCGGGACTATGACAGCCATCACACCTGGAGCACCAGCTCCACGTGGCGGGACCGTGAGGACAACAACAACCCGCGGGCCCACCAAGAAAATTGGGCGTGGAACGACACGAGCTCATGGTGGGAGAAGACCAATGCCCACAAGGACTGGCCCTCATGGTGAGTCAGGCTGACAATCTTCCACTGATCATGAGACCTTTCAAGCCACTTGGAAAAAGCGCCGTGTCAAGCTATGATCACCGCTACGCCAGAAAGCGTGCAGGAAGTGTTGAGCATCCTAGGTCTCCCGGGCAAGTGTTTCTGGCTACCGTCGGGGCCCAAGCTGCACCACCAGCTCAGACGTTCATGCAGACTGCGATGGCATGTGATGGCATGAAGTGTTTCTGGCCAAGGCGGGTGACGATGCAGAGGTAGTGGTGTGGGAGTTTTCCAGCTAGATTTTCATGACCGCGGCTGAGCTTGGAAAGCCACACCTTGAGTCGTGAGAGTTTCGTGAGCATAGCAGGGCATCTGGAGCTGCTGAAGATGTGGTGCCAAGATCGGTTTGAGGTCATTTCCAGCCCCTGACTCGTTCCACCAGCTTGAAGAAAAATCACGGGCTGTAGGGAGGTACCTCACCCCTGACATGGCACCTAATTCTTGAAGAGCGCTGCGCTTGTGGCGCGATTGCTTCCTAGCTAATACACATGTGCTTATTGTGATACAGTGAGAGCATGCACGCTAACAGACCTTGCATGTTGCAGCGTCAGCAGGGCGAGATACGTCTTCTGTGGTCATCATTTGTTCGCCAGGATTTGCAGTGCCTGGAGCGTTTGGCTTTGATGCAGACACGAGACGGAGCGCATATCTGAAACGTAGTTGGTATCAGGCCTGCATTTGGTCACGTCCTTGGACAGCTTTCGGCCACCCTTTGCGCGCCGTGACCATGTTGCTTCTTGCTTTACTGCCCCGGCTGTGGCCAAAGGGTGGTGGGACAATGGACACATGCTCGTTGACACCGGGCCAAGGTTTATATGCCAACCTTACCTGTACAAGAAATTAGGGGGGTTCTCATTTGCAGGCACGTTCGGAACTCACAGCCGACGCAACCGCCTTGGCCGCCAAGTATCCGAAGAACTCAGGTGTGCTTGCTGGTCGCTACGTAGAGGATGACCTGCAGGACTGCTGGACAGCTGTGCAACTGAGCTGAAATCCACGTTTTTGCAACTTTCGCATGCGGCGGAGCGCTGCAATTTTGGAGTGGGTCAACTTTTGAACGCTCATGGCCATACGCAGTTGCATTCAGAACTTGCGGGCAGTCAAGCTGGAAAGGCGGTCCAGCAGTTTGACATTTGTCAGAAAG